AATCGTAATAATTATTACGCAGCCGCCGACAGCAACAGTATTTTAATGACCTGCCGCAACACAGGGTCCTGGTCAGCTACCACACTCACTACTCGCCCCCTTTTTTGAAAACGGGCACTGTCATCGACTCTCGCCAGTTGTTTGGGACAGACTCCTTTTTCCAAATGCAAGCAAACAGATCGGACAAGCGCTGAATTAGGACTTCGAATCCGTCTTCGGACAGTGCGGGTGGGACGTTATCCGGAGCAGGAGTTCCGTGGCGCTTGAGAGAACATATGCATTCGTAAACCTCCGAGGCCGTAGATGGTTCCACGTTCACCGTCCAGAGTGCCACTTCACCTGTGGGCCCTAGCTGAGTGCCGGCTGGTGGCCACGGCATTTATTGTTCGAAGTATTCAAGCAGGATTCAAGCAGTGTCACCTTTCGGTCTGATATCCAGTCCTTGGGTGCACCTGGTGGTGCCATGCACAGGCAAAATTCCTAGCACTGTGCAGATAGGTGGCAATCCCGTTCCAGTATGCGTTTACATATGATGCTGGAGCATTTGGAAGAGACTTTAGGGATGATTCTGGTAAATTCGTCCAACATCGAAACTTCCAGTCTCTCATTTACCAAGTTGGAAGAGACTCTAGAAAACGATTCTTGTAAGTTCGTCTGACATCCGGGTCTGCCAGTCTTTCGGTTGCCATGCGATTTGTCCCCACCTTACGCGACCCCGGGAAACGTAGGGAGAAGCGACTCCGGACGAGCGCGTGGTCAGGGTCCACAAATGTGTTACAAAGCGACCGGCAGTCAGTTACTGATCCGCGCTATCTGTAACTGATGGCAATGTGGTCGATTTGAGTTTGTGGCCGGTACACCGTTGGAGGACACCAAGTGGCCAGACGACTTCAGCTATTTCGGAAGTTAGTACTGCATAAAAACAGCCTGTGATCAGCACACAGCTTAAGTAATCGACCTCCCAATGGAGTCTCAGATACACAAACCTGTCCACTTGTGTATTCATATCTCCGGCAATCACCACAATGCCTGAGCTTTTAGCTCGCCGCAGCAGGACACTTAGGACGTCATAAAACCTGTCTTCGACGGCGTCGGAGCTATGGTCAGTTGGGGTGTAGGCAGATACGATAAACAGATATCTGTCAACCTGCCGCCCGTCAGACTCCTTCACAGACGTTACCAGACGAACCGCACAGAGGTGACTATCAACAGTTATACAATCAAGTAAGGATACTTCCGCCCGGTGACTTAACACGATACCAACCGCTGCATATCCCGCCGCAGCAGCCTTTAGGTTACCAAACGTGTGCATCCTGGATCGAGTGGAGATTAATGGGGCGGTTAGCTCAGTCACTGTGTTTGCATCTTGAATTCTCGTTTCTGAGACACAGCACACATCAATGCCAAGCGAGTCTAGTGTGAGTGCAAGAGCAGCTTGTTGTCCTGCTTGCTTCAGAGTGCGGACATTGAACGCGGCCAGAAAGACTGAGTGCTAAGGTCTGAATATCAATTTGGAGATACCTGAGGATGTTGGCGCTATGTGACGAGTAGGTGATGCGCGCAGAACGGATATATGACGAACGGAGTCATCAGTCCTAAGTGCTCGGCCTACAAGGAGTGCGTTATTAGTGGGATGGGGAGAGGGGGGAGAGAAAGAAGGGAGGCGTCAGCAGTAGCGTGTTTTCGCTTACCCGCCCTGCTGTATGCAGCAAGTGAGGCGACCCGGCTGATGGCACCACGCGACGGCCGATGTGGCGTGAGAGTGTTGTTAGTTGTGAATGTCATGGTTGTACGAGGCCTGGGATACTCTCAGGGCGCCCACACCTAGGCAGGATGACAATTACGGTCCTTAACCAAAGCCTTTGACTCAATAACCTAACCGCAAGGCAGCGATGCTTGGCGGGAAAACGTGCATTACCATTTCTACGGAACAAATCGCCACATGTTTCAATCCCCAACCTGGAGGGCCAGGAGACTGTGCTCGTCAAGCCTCTAACCACTGACCAACCTGGTATGAGAGACTGAGTGTCACGGGGACACTCCCCAGCATAGCTCAATAGATTGCTGAGGTGCACGAACCGTCACACCACGGTAAGGTCCAGTCTCTTCGTGACAGGAGGCGGACCCCGGGTATGCACAACTCGTCCTATCGCCATATAGCAGAGTGTCTCGTCAAACGCTGGAGCCGCTACGCTAACAAATGTGTTAGTACAGTTTGAGCGATACATTTCGATTTGTGGACTCAATAAAGGACCTTGAATGGAAGTAGTTGTTCATGTGTTCTTTACTCAAATGATGCAATTAACTACCTATGTAACTACGTAGAAGCCAACAACATTCAGTTACCATCTTCAATCAACGAATTACGAGAACTCCTCTTTTGGTGCTTATTGAACGTGTAACTATCGTTCAATAGCACGCTCTACCTTCAACTTGATGGCGTCTCTGTGATCTCACCACTGAGCCCAGTGCTAGCCAACATTTTCATGAGTTTACTTGAAAACGGCCCCTTAAAAGCTAGCACAGAGAAGGCACAGTACCATTGCCACTATGTGGATCACGATTTCGCGGTTTTAAACGATAAAACCAGGATAGGATTGCTCCAACGAGAGTTCAATTAGGCTCACACCGCCATCCAATTCAACTTAGATGGAGAAACAGATAACTGCTTGAACGACGTCACGATGGCACAGTAAAACGATCGGTGTACCGAAAGCCTGTGTGGTCCGGAAAATACACTAGCTTTGACAGCCTCGTGCCACCAAATCAGAAATGGTATCTGATCCACAGCCTAACAGTCAGAGCGAGAAGAGTATGCTCTGATGATGCACTGTAAAAAGAAATCCTACCTCTCGCTAACGTTCTGAGGGACAACGGGTTCGTCGACGATTCCGTTATGTAACGTGTCAATAGGGGAGAAGCCAATACTGTCACCACCATAGCTGAAAAACCCGTCTACATTAGCTGTCATTTCAAAGGCTATATACTACCAACCTACCAAACAGAAGAGTTCATACCACTTTGAACAAAGTTTTCCCGGCAGTAACACTCTGAACCTGGTTCACGAGCACTCATCTGTGCTTCCTTAGTCTCAGAGATAAATTGCTTGTTCACGCCCAAAAGTATTACTGTACTCATTCCCTTGCTGCTATTCACCGGACTACATTGGGTGCACTAGGTAACTCGGTCAAAGAATGAGGGAACACAACACCCTGGCTAGCTTCTGGAACTAGGAGAATGGTAATAATATAAATAATAATAATAATTGCTGTAACACCACACCCTTCCGGTGCCTAGCTGCCACGCCACCCGGAGGAAGCACGAGGGCTGGGATACTGCCAGGTCGCCCAGGCCTAGACATGGAAAGTCGAGTGGCAGAGGTCGGGTTCGAACCACGGGCCTTCCGGTCAGTAAATTCGCGCTCTAACCACTTGGGCCATCTCGCTCCAGCTCAGTCGTACAGCATCTAGCGGACAAGGTGCCTGCTAATCAACCCAGATCGGTACAGCGCCGCACAACCGCAATGACTGAAGCTATCGCCACACAATATCGAGACTCGATCTTTGTCGGCAAAAACGCTTTGTTCTCGTGTTGTACTCGCCATGGTCCAATTAATCTCGTAACACCTATACTTCCTGTGCTGAATACACTACCACAGCACCGTCTGCAAATGTCAACCTATTGGTGACTTAAACTAGTTGTTCCTTGATAGGTGGCCAATGTTGTCTGTCACAACTTCCTGTTCCATGTACACCACCTTCACCAATTTATATTGAATACTGCTCTCTTGGACTTGAAAAGACCTTGCCAAAAAATCTGTTCGTCAACCCGCAATTGTTTTTAGAACTGCATGAACTTAAAACGCCATACCCGTGTAGTAGATTTCTACATGACAAGTGGAACAAGGCAGCTGAGGGGTTTGACGCCAGTACTTGGAAGCATTTAGTATTCATCATCATCATCAACACCAAAGGCAGCAACATCAGTGTTTACACTGATGCATTACGCCGTACGTATTTAGTATTGGTGCTCATGCACCAATAGGATGTCAGTGAGAGGCTAAGATGTAGAAACAAGGTTTAGGAATACAAGACGCATCGTTAGCAGATTTGATTTTTTTTCGTTTAGAGGTAGTCTCCCCAGCACCACGGCATTTCGTTTTCCCTTTACATAAGGGGTTATTACACCTTCAAGCTGAGGTGTCAAACGACACTCTTTGTGGTTAAGTCTGGCTTTCATCAGTGTATTTCCCCTTATGCCCAAAAGGTTAACGCAGTTTAAACGGACATGCTTTAAGGGTATAACACTAATCCCTGCGCCACAGTGTATTTGGGTATTCCGTAGAGTACAGACAGGGAGATTAGTATTATAAAAACTGATGTCTTCAAAGTCACCGAATTTCAAGTGCGTGCCACAGCCTCCGCACAGTATGACGGCCGCATTGTGTCATAGCAGTTTGAGGGGGAAATCTGTTCATCCCCATAATATCAGACCATCTCTCTGACACTGGTTAATTTGCGCGACTTTTCTCATAATACAAATGGAGAGGGGACAGCTTAGCTTGACATGGCGGATGAGATGTAGGAATATCCAAAGAGCATCACTCTATTGGTTTTCGCGTTGGGTTGTCAGAGAATGTAGCAATTTGAACAATCCTTGGAATATATGTGAAGACAGAAGAATGCGCAACCAACTCCGAATATACGCTCTTCTAATAAGCACTGATGGCAAATTGCGTTTCAAATTTAGTCATGGTCAAAAAGACCACGACCTTCTATTCAGTCCCTGTGTCCTTCCTCCTCCAGCTTTTTTAAGTAGGGATTCTAAAACAATTATGTGGTTGTGTAGCAGTAAATCGCTGTCAACTCTGGTGCTGCCTTCTATGGCGATAAATCCCCCGTACAGTTTTCCATATTCTAGTGAAGTGCTCACATACAACCTTCTTTCAGGTTATCGGAGGCTGATCTTGAACATACTGCACTGACCTATGCCGAGCTAGTTGGACCCTCCGACTCTGGCCTGATCTTAGTGCAACTACTGTAGCCGCCCAGACAATGGCACCCGAGCTCTGGCTACTTTCTTTGGTGGCAGTCGTTACCACTTTTGTGATAATCACGTTCATAGTAAGCGTTTGTCCTTTTACCGTGAAGCTTCTGATTTTCATATATTTGTCTACGGATCCGTACCCAAACATGCGCCGCGACCATGTAGAGGAGTGTTTTCTCGAGCCCTCAACTTCCGAGTATATCAAGCTACCAGTCGGTCTCACCGAGCGTCCCAAGCTCGAACTTTCCATAATCGTTCCCGCGTACAATGAGACTTCTCGTCGTAAGTCCTCTTGTTTTTTAAACCGCACTGTTTCTAGTCCCGAAAATGCTCGACGAAGCTTTGGAATATTTGAACAAGCGCAAGGTAGGGAAGTCTTTCTTTCGATCACTTCCTATAGGAACACAACCCAAAATTTTCGTTCGAGATCATTGTAGTGGACGACGGAAGTGCAGATGCTACAGCTGAGGTAATGCCTTGAATAATCTATGTCGGAATCTTTCAGGTTGCACTGAAATACTCAAAAGCTCACGGTACTGACAAAGTTCGTGTTGTCAAACTCCTCAGGAACCGTGGAAAGGGTGCTGCAGTTCGCTTCGTAAGTTTTCCTACTTTTAGATAAGTTTGTATTTTAAATCGGATTTTGATTAGTTATGGCCTTTTTCCTCAGCTTTCATAAATTGCATCATCCTTTAAAAAATATCCGTCCTGATGAGACCAGCGACTTAGGAACGTTTGATGTGATTTCTTATTCTCGGTCATTAGGAACTTCAGTCAACTTTAAATGTAGTTTTCAGAACGTACAGTTATGCCAGCTGCTAGTAACCGATTACCACTAATAACTCGTATCCTTTCTAAATGTTCTGTCATATTCAGTCTTCCAATCAGCATGGTATTCACGTCACGTAAAGTGTACCTTGTGCTGGTTTCACGAAGTGTTTTATTGGACTGATGAACCAACATTTGACTCCCCTAATAAAGAGGCATCCTGTCCTACTACCGTCCAAGAAGTGCCACTTTCTAGTCGAAGTCAGGAAACATCGACGTTAATTATTAAGAAAGTTCATACTATGTTGAGCTGAGGTCTTCAGAGGTGAAGTCTCGCTGTGTTAGCTATCCCCAACACACTGGCACCCACAATTTGACCTAACTCGAACATATCACAGGGTGTTATGAACACCTGACCTGCCTCTATTTTGTTTGGCCGTAAGAAGTATCAGGTAGTGTGATTTCAACCTCAAGTTGGTTTGGATATTTTAGCCGATACCAAGAACATTGACTGAGATGCTCGTTTGGGCTTTTTAGGGCATGCTATCGGCTCGTGGCCGAATGTTACTATTTGCGGACGCGGATGGAGCGACCCGATTCTCGGACGTGGAAAAACTTGAGGATGCGCTATCTGCGGCTGTCGCCAGACGTTGGGTAAGTCGTTCTTTTAAGTACCCGTCTCCGTCTTCATGTGATTTTCGTCCCCAAATTTTTAAATAACCAATGTGGAGTGAAAATTAAACAACCGGATTTGTCTATGTTTTCACTTCCTTTACGGCTGCAATGGTCCCAGTTCCAAGGACAAACTGTGTATAAATAGCCGATCAACGGTTGAATAGTTTTCCATCGAAAAAGTTATACGGGTATTGATTTCCGCTGCGCTTTTGGCTAGTTTGTTCGCGTTGCTGCGGTAGGCGAAAAATTTGGCAAAAAACGTGACGGCCTACGCCTTCTAGAGATGCCTCTACAGAATGACCTCTTTGGAGACCCCATCTTGGGAGAGCGTAAAGCAGACGATTTCTGTTGTTCATGCGTTTCGTATCTAAACTAAGAAGACCACCCAATCAAACCACAGCAGCGCCTAGCCTACCTATCTGGGCGTTGATTTCACCACCAACCACAACCGTATCTGAGCTTTTAGCCCTTCCCAAAAGAACACTTAGAGCATCTTTGTCAGATTCAAATCTACAGTCAGTTGGGGCGCATGCAGACAATAAACAGGTTGCAACGGACCTCACTTTCTCGAGATCATCTCACAGACGTTGACAACTGAACGGCGAAGAGGTGCCTATCAGCAGGTATCCAACCAGGTAGAGACGCTTCCGGTCGGTTGCTCGATACAATACCCACTCCGGTATATCCAACTGCAGTGACCTCTGCACCACCAGAGGTGTGCATCCGGAACCTGAAAGAGAATGAGGAGGCAGGCGGTTCAGTTACAATACATGCGTCCTGTATCCTTGTTTCTGACAGGTAGTATGCATCAATCTTGAGAGAATCCAGCATAAGAGCAAGAGTCGCCTTCTGCTTGCTTCAATGTGCGAACATTAAAGGCAACTAAGTAGACAAGCTTACACAGTTTGAAAATAGACTGAAATGTTTAGGGTCGGACATACAGTAGCTGCAACTGAGTGTGATGCACGGCGAGTAAAACGGTCAGTCCTAGTTCTGGGATCTGCGTAGAGAGTATTCAGATTTGGGTGGGATAGGATAGAATAGGGAAAACGTGAAGTCGTAAGAAGTGAGGCGTCAGTAGCAGCCTGTTTTTGCTAACCCGCCATGCTATATGCAGCAAGTAAGGCGACCCCGTGGCCGATGTGGCATGAGAGTATTGTTAGTTGTAAGCGTCATGGTTGTACGTAGGCTTAGATACTGCCATGGCGCCCTGACGGCAACCCAGCGGTATTCGGCGAGAAATGCAAGTGCATTGCTGTTTTGACAGAACAAGTTGCCACGCATGTTCCAGCCCCCAACCTGGATGGCCAGGGGACTGCGTTAGTCAGACCTCTAACCACTGACCAACCTGGTATGAGAGATTGTGGCTGTCGCGCAGACGCTACTCAATATCCCTCATTGGGTCACGGAAGCACACAAACCGTCACAACACGGTAAGGTTAAGTGTGTGAGGTTGTGGGATTTTCGGGAGATTACCGTGTCTGAGTTGAGAAGAATCAATAGGTACTGATGATTGCTGTCTGAAGACGCCCTTTCCACCTTGCCGTCGCGACGGTAAACGGGACACTTGTGCAAGTCGCCACTAAGCTGAAACCTTTAACCCTTTCCATCTCCACAGTTGCGCGAAGGTAATAATACCATTCTCTTGAACCGAGCTGTCTAATGTACTACACAGATTGTTCGTTCGGACGTGATCAGACGTTCGTTTGTGTAGGGTTATCATCGTTAAACCCATATAGAGTCTCACAGGAACCAGAATGTGGGTAGAAACACACTAAAATAGTCTGTCGAGGTTGTCATCTTTCGACTCTTCTTCGGTCGCAAGACCTCGGGAGGCTGTGTAAGGTACTTTCGAACGCTTTCATGATTTTCACTATGACAACTCAGTTCAGATAGTATGGCTTCGGTGACAACGGTTCATGGTGCAGTTTGCTTCACCGTTCTTTGCCAGAACTGGTCGGGGAAGGCAGTCTTTCTTGTGTCCACTCCTGGCTTCACCCGTAAATTACAAAGGAACCCAAGGTTGAGATGGCTCAGTTGTTGATTTGCCACCTCATTGACCGGAAGGTCTGCTGTTCAATCCCGAACTCGGTATCTCGATTGCACCTGTCTAGATTTGGGCACCCTGGCAGTATTTCAGCCCTTGTGGCTCTTTCGTTGGTATGGCAGCTAGGCACCGAAACGGTGTTACGGCTGAGCCACTATTATTTATTATTCAAGTGAATTACGAGTATAAGGTTACCAATATCTGATAATTGAACACTTTTGGGTGCATACACTGCGTGAGGCAACTAAGGATGTGAATTTCCGCGCACTTCGAAGAGGGTCCGAATTGTTAAACCCGTCTAAGAGTATACATATCACAAGCGATGGAAGCACTCTCCACCATTTAATGGTGGGACGGTCGGGCAGCATGCACACTACATGACGTTGAATTTTCCTCGCTCAAGAATGGCTTGACTGTCAACATGATTTTCTGTCCACCTGGTCATACGAACCACTTCGTAGCCAACACGACACCGTCACACCAGTTTGGTGCTCACGTGGCATGAACACGCAGTTTGATTCAGTGACGTACATGGCTTCGTGTAGTCACTTGCCCTCAACCTGCATTGCAGTGACGTTGCGGATGATCCGTCTCTGCGGCTTACTTTGCGTTAAACGAGTCCACAGCAGAACGGTAGGCGAAACGGTAGTTTCCTTTTGGTGGTAGTTGGAAGCTGTTGATTTGTTTAGTGGAGAGGACCTTTTAGAAGAGAGCAGGTATAAGGCATTCGCGGTTTGTTTTGAGACTGAGCCGGCTTTACATACATGCGATTTGCTTGGTAGTCCTATACGATATGTGGGTCGGAATGTATCGAATACGTATCCGTTCAGCTGCAACACCCTTTCAGTGTCTAGCTGCTGTGCCACCCGAAGGAAGCACAAGAACTGAGATACTGGCAGGTTTCCCAAGTTTAGACAGGAGCAGTCGAGATGCCAAAATCGGGCTCGAACCAAGGATTTCCCAATCAGTTCGTGCCTTGACCACTGAACCATCTCGACCTCGAATGTAGAATGATCCAACGAAAATATATGTCAAAAAAATGTAAACGCCAAGCAATGGTTGTCCCATAACTCCCACTGAGTAATTGCATTGGGTCCTACAAGGCAAGAACGTTTTGACTTCCGTTTGTGTGTACAGTACCCGATTTATGTGAGTGGAATCGGCATACTTGTCCAATTGAAATAAAAGTTGATATCTGTTGGTGCTGATAGTGAGCCCCTTGTGTGCCTTGTATGGTAGTCATCATCATCAACGACAGCATGACATCAGTGCTCAACACCAATGCTTCACTGCCGTACAGCCATGACTTATTTGAAAGCCTTATTATAAAGAAAAGAATAAAGGTGGATGGGGGAGGGACTTAGTGCTAGCTTAACACAATCATTCCGAGGTGCCTACACCTCCAGACATTCACTCAGGCAATCTGGACAGAAACTGACAACAAGAACGCCACTGACATCGGTTGACAGCCACATCTTGTAGTGTCTCCAACCAGGCACAGTGAGGATCACGCGGTCCACATCCTGGAAGGCGAGTAGCACCGACAGCACCCAAGCGTTTCGTCATCTCCTTCATACTCCTCTGCCAGGTCAAGGGTTGGCCACCTCTCTGTTTACGCCACCCCGAATTGGG